GGAAAATTAATTCTTTTTTTTGGGAATAAATATGGAAAAAAAGAATTCAGTAAGTGAAGGATACATTATAGGTACTCAAGAAAATGGTGAAGCTAATATATTAGTAAGTCACGTTGGGCTTCAAGTAAAATTGAAAAATTATACCAATATAAATGGATCAACTGGAGAAGCCTACCTTCATGAGAGAAGAGGCACCATTATCTCAAAAAATGAGAGAAGAGCTATAATGACGCAAGTACATAGATTTATGGAAGTAACAGGGAGGTAAACAGGGAACTAGAAAATCCATTTGATATACATCTAACAATAGCAAGGTCAACGTTCTGCATTTGGCTACGTATCTTATGTTGGTACATGGCTGGAACAGGAACAAACATTAACGACATGCAGAAACCGAAACAAAAAAATGCTACTTATGAGTAGAGGATAAATAATTTTTTTTTTGAAACAAAGGCAGGAGCTCTGCCGTTCAATTAAGACGAAAGAATATTATGTACAAAAAGGTTAACCACAAGAGATGCTAAAAAGGCACCCGAAAGGTTAACCACCTCACGCAACGCGGCCGAGCACAAACACTACGCACTGCCATGGGTCATCGTTGCCGAGCATGGAAGCCAAGCTGCCAACAGCTCCGACTTCACATGGCAGTCCACCCACTAGTCACCCCTAACAGGTCTGAAGCTAATGGCCGCCACTGGTCATCGTTGCCAAGCTCAAACACCGAAGAGCAACTCCAACTTCCATCCGAGAACCCTCGCATTGCATTGAAGCCGCGACAAAAATTCAAATGTGACGCCTTCACGAAGGGAGCAACGCCGATGGCGCCACCGTCGCACATCCAACGTGGACCGGGTTTTCACCCTTGGAAGACATGCTAGAGCGGAAACACGACGCCCTCAACAGGGGAACGGCGCCAAATGGTGTCGCCGTTGTCAAGGCTTTCGCCCAAGAACCCTCTAGCACGAACGCCGGGTCGCGAAGCCAGACCCCCTGCCAACCTTCACCGCTGTCATCGTTGTCCCGCCGTCCCACAGAATCCCCGTCAGAGGGGCATCGACGTGCCGGCTGCATGCAGCAGTCGCTCAGCTGCATCGGCCACGACCCCCTCCGACCGGGCCACACAGAGCCGGACCTTGACATCGCTGCTCGCGTCACACTACCGCACACCGAGGCCGCCATTGACCATCGTCGTTGACTCTGGCACCCACCAAAGTCACTGCCGAAATCACCGCTAGTAGCCACAGGGCGCGTGTCCTCACCATCCCGGACGTTGCCCCCTGCCCTAGGGCCATAGGATCCGGATGCAGGCCCTGAACTCGGCGCCCCCTGCCACCGATGTAGCCTCCGTCTTGACCACAACTGCAGGCACCTAAGCCGGCTCGTCGCCCTGGCCATCGACACCCAGGCTACGCGGGAGCTACCCCGCCCATAGCCAGCTCCTGCAGAGGCCTGACCACCGCCATAGCAGCCCTGGCCGGTCGCCGCCACAGCAGCCAAGGCCGTGAGGGAAGGGGCAGGCAAAGGAGAGAGTGCCACCCCGGCGCCTGCATGAACCTAGGCCGCCGCCAATAGATCGGTGCCCGCCACAGCCACAGCCGGCCCAGGCTCGGCCGTAGCAGCCCCGACCGGCTGTTGTTGGCTCAGGCCTGGCCGCAGCAGCCTCGATCGGATGTTGTTGGCTCAAGCCCGGCCGTAGCAGCCCCGGGCCAGCCGCTGCCGTCCCAGGCCCAGCCGCAGCTGCCCCGGCCGGCCACAAAGTCGACAAGGCCGTGAAAGGAGGGGCAAGCGGAGGAGAGGAGAAGGGCCCTATCACCGCCCCACACGCCTGCATGAACCGGCCACCGCCGCCTTGACCGCCGCCGACCGCCACGCCACCCACCCAGGGCCAGCCAAATCTAGCAGTCCGGCCGCCACTGGATACGGCCACCCGGTCACCGGATCCGGCCACCCGGTCACCGGATCCGGCCATCCGGCCATCGGATCCGAATGCTCGGCCACCAGATCGGCCGCCCCCGCCTGCGTCGCCATCTTTAAGACTGGAGGAGGGGAGGAACGGAGGAGAGGGGGAAGGAGCTCCGTCGCCATCCCCTTGTGCCAGCACGGGCACCGGTCGGCACGGCCACAGCCGCCGTAACCTCCCCCGTTGAGCTCCACGCAGCTCGCATGGGAAGGACCGCTGGCCCTGCTGCCACATGCGCCACCGAGGGAGGGAAAGGCCACGCCGCAGCCATCCTGACCGGCTGAGAGGCCTTGCCAGCGGCCAGCTCCGGTGGCGGCACAGAGGGAAAGGAGGAGAGGAGTGGGAGGGAGGCGGCGTGGCGGGAGCACCGCCCGAGTCGCCTCGCGTGGGGGAGTGACGCGGGGGAGAGCCTGTATCCATAAATCATTTCAAATCAATCTCTTATAGCAAATGGATATCAGGATTCTATTAGTTTGCAGGACAGAATATACTACATGTACAACAGGAGTTGAGTAACATTTATATGAGATTATGAGCTGTGCACGGTATCACAGAATTATGGAATCACAGTAATGCCATAATAGATAAAAGATCCAGAAACATAGAGTATGCACGGTATCCCTAATCAAACTGGGCTGCAATGTTAATTTGTTTATAAATTAACATGTCAAAGATGCATAATTACAATTCTATAACTGAAAGAGAAGGGGATTGTTTTAGATGAGAGCACTTACCTGCAAACTATAGATGCTCAATTGGTCCTATTCTCCCAGCGATTAATGGAGAAGGGCAATAGCGTGCAGAAGGCATGGAAACCCAAACCCTAGAATAGCAATAGTAAACCAATTAAACTTTTGGGGGAAAACCACCGAGGTAGAGTTCTTTGTAAAAAAATCAGAAAGGTAGAGTGAAATTAGAAAAATAAAAGGGGAAATTGGAGTACCTGAGAGATTGGGAACCTGTGGTCATGTCGAAGGAGGCGATGCCCCCTCCCACCCTAGAATTTTTGGCGATCCCTGGCTAGAATTTCCGAGAGGGAGGCTCCACGGAGCAGCAACGGTCACTAACCGTAGGGAGTGAATTTATTTCACTCCCTCTCACTCCTTTGTCTCTCTCTAGCATTTTTATTCACTCACTTACTTTGAGACAAAGGCTTGGCTCTCTCTTTCACTCTCCAACAATCTCTCTCACTCAATTCTAGATCCCCATCTTTGTGAGTGAGATTGGAGTGAGCTCTTGTTGGATTTCAACTCCAGGAGTAAGATCCATCTCTTGATGAGCACTTGTGGCACCCACTAGTGATTGGTTTTTGCTCTATTACTCTTGGGTTCTTGGAACCCTAGCCAGCTAGGTGTTGCCCGGTGATGCCCTCATTTCGTGCTTGTGAGGGGCGCTGGAAAGTTTGTATCACCCTTTGTTCCAGTGAAAATCCCTGGCTTCATCTTTGTGGTTGCTTGGGAAAGAGGGGAGTTCAAAGAAACTCTAAGGACCTTTGTCGTCGCCTCAACATCAGGGACGTAGGCACAACTTTGTGGTGTGGCCGAACCTTGGGATAAATCTTGTGTCTCCGTGTGCTTATAACTTGTGATTGTATTATTTGTTGTGGTGGCTCGATCTATATTGTGTGTAGGTGTTGGAGCAAGCAAAAGATGTGAAATCACTAATACTACTACATACTCTACACGTGTGGTGAACTTGCTTTAGTATTTGAGCATTTCATTTCATATCTTAGTTAGTTTACTACTCTCCGTAATTCGGAATTTCAGTCCTCACCAGAATTTGTGGACAAGTCCATAAATTCCGCTTAGGGCGGTATATTCCGATACCCCTGATTTCATCCGCTGCAGAAGTTTTAGAATTTCAGGAAATGCCTATTCAACCCCCCCCCTCCCCAGGCATTTCGATCCTTTCAACTTACCTTCAAGAGCTTCCTCTTCCAAGGAAATGAAAAGCAAATCCTTCCCACTTAGATTTGTATTTTCGGGAAAGTTATCCAAACTCTCTCTTCCTTCCTTCTTGGGCTATAGTATTTGTCCCGAGGTGAAAGAAGGGGGCTAGAATTTATATTGGATACATTAGTAGAGGCAGCTCTTATTATAACCGCCTCTAGAAATAATATATTTTTCAGATGCGACTCTTCTTGCTTAATTGTCCTATTTTACATTGTCAGCCTTTTGTTCTTAGGCCTGCTGCTTCTCTTAGATTCAGTCCTTCCAAGCGAAGTACTTGTTTTATCAGTAATATTTTGAGAGGTGACTGTCCATGGGTGGTTGAACAAAGTTGTTGTTTTGCATCTGAATCTCTTTTGTCGTGTATTGTCCGGTTGGACACAATCTTTCTTACCGATTGTTGGTGCCTAACATCCTAGCTATATATGTCCCTCTCATGTGCACTTACAAATTTTCATACAAATATTGCAATTAATGTCTTCATTACGATTATAATCTAAAAACGAATTATGAATTTTTGGAACCAATATCAATCACTCATGTATGCTTTATGTCAAAACATATAGTCAGTTCATTATTATTGGCACGGACTGGTTTAAATAATCACGCAACAAGTTGGTAGGACTTATTGCAACCCACGGACATGTTTACCAGATGGATAGATATGTATGCCTTGTGCGGCTGTGCATCATGAAGCGTTATAAGGTTCCTGTAGGACTCCCGTTTTGTTCTTATCCTTCCACCACAACCTTCGGTTCCCAGCACGACACCGCATGGTTCCCTCGTCGCTGTCGCGTGCCTCTCCTGTCTCCTCCCTTGCTCGCCTCCAAAAATTCAAATCCCCATCCCCAACCGCGGAACCTCGGCAGTCATTTCGGCCAGCAGCTAGGTTGAGGCCAGACCCACATATAAAACCAGCTCTGCGCTGTATCTTCATGCATCCATCCAACTCGTAGCTAGCCATAAGAGCTAGCAAATAACTATAAATGGAGCAGAAGCCATTTGTGCCCTGCAGGACGGCGATCCCTAGCGAGGAGCTTATGCAAGCCCAGGCAGAGATTTGGCGCCTCTCCTACAGCTACATAAAATCCATGGCCCTTCGTTGCGCCGTCAAGCTCGGGATCCCGGACGCTATCCATCGCTCCGGCGGCGCCACCACGCTAACCGAACTGCTCGCCGCCATCCCACTTGCCGAGGCAAAGCGGACACACTTATCCCGCCTCATGCGATTGCTGACCGAGCTAGGGGTCTTCTTCACGGAAGACGATGTCCAGGCCAATGGCGGCGGCGAAGCTGGCGGTGTCTACCGCCTCAAGCCAGTGTCTCGCCTCCTCGTACACGATGTGGAAGCCAACGACGGCGCGTGCCTATCGCAGTTTGTGACCTCGGTCACCGCGCTGTCGTCCAACCTCACGGCGTACCTGCGGCTAGACGAGTGGTTCAAGAGCGACGGAGGCGACTCATCTTCGGCGGATACGCCGTTCATGATGGCGTACGGCCAGGGCTTCTGGGCCGCCGACGGCTGCGACGCGGAGCGGAGCGCGCGTTTCGACCAGCTCATGGCGTCCGACAGCCGGCTGGTGGCGGACGTAGTCGTGCGGGAGTGCAGCGACGTGTTCCAAGGGATCACGTCTCTGGTCGACGTCGGCGGAGGGAACGGCACGACGGCGAGGGCCATCGCCACAGCGTTCCCACACCACCACTAATATAGAACAGATTTTAGAACGATGTCCTAATTTAATATTAGTCTCAGCAATTTTTTTTCCCCTCGAGACTAAAGGTTTTTACTCAACGGTCATCCGCGGGGTAGGGATCTTTAGTCCCGGCTGGTATTACCAACCAGGACTAAAGGGCTACCAGTCGGGACTAAAATTTTTAGTCCCGGTTTGGGTGATTCCTCGGGAATAAAGATTAATCTTTAGTCCCGGTTTGACCCCCTAATCGGGACTAATTATCCCGGTCTATAGACCAACTCATTTTTTCCTCTCCCGACCCGAGCCATTCCATTCAAACTCACTGCTGCCTCTGTTCTTTAGCTTGCTGTTGTTCTTGCTCTCTCCCCCTCCATTGGTGTTGCTCTTCGATTTTGGAGGTAACAAACTTAATCCTCTTATGTTTTATCAGTAGCTTATCTCATTTTACGATGTAGATACATGTGTAACTTTATTTGTTGGACTTTATTATGATTTTATGTCATTTTTAGCTCAAAATCACATGATGATTTACATATATGTTTGGATAAACAAAAGTTAAATTAGTTCATCAAAATCACTTGATAGTTTAGTATTGTTAGTATATGTAGTACATTTCATGGTTTAGTTAGATAAATATATATTTTTATTTTTTTAATATATTACTTTAGAAATGAGAAATTTACAATAGTTTGCAAAAATAAGTATAGAAAGTAACTTGATATGGTGGATTTGATTATGATTTTTATGTTATTTTTAGCTCAAAATCACATGATGATTTATAATAGTAAAATCACTTGATAGTTTGGTATTTTACTATTATACATAGTACATATTTCATGGTTTAGTTAGATAAATAAATAATTTTAATTTTGTTTAAATATATTATTTTAGAAAATATGAAATTTACACTAGTTTGCAAAAATAAGTATAGAAAGTAGATGAAAACTGGTACCGGATCCTCGGCCTCTCGTTCGGTTGCGAAACGACTGAGGCCAGAACTCCCTCTCATTATCTGCGGTAAGTGTACGCAGAAGATTGTGATGGAGTACCGAGTCAAGAGACAGGGACCCAACAAGGGTCGTGTTTTCTACAAGTGCCCAGATCGCGATGTGAGTTTCTTACGCATTTGATTATTATGGCTAATTGACCTACTTTTCTTGAATATTTTTGACTTAATATTTTTTGGCTTTAATTTCAGTGGGAGGGCAATGGATGCGATGGTTGGTACTGGGAGGAAGATTATGCTACATACGTGCAGAATTCGGGTGCGCTTGAGGTAGCGGCTGCTGATGATGAGGCAGTGAGCCAGCAGGAGAAGCTTATTGATATTCAACAGACGAATGATTTGTCTGTTTTAGTTGCGTACGGTCACGAAATAATTATGTTACTGAAGTGCATTGTAGTTTTAGTTTGTTTAGTGATAGCTGGGATTGCTTACGTTGTAGTCAGGCTTAGTTAATTAATCAACCGTGTGTGTGTCATCTATGTTGTGTAATAAAATACTTAATTATGTTCAAGGTTTTTATAATTTGTCGTGTAATGCAGATTATGTCACGCCATTGAATTTACAATGCTGATCGCCACTCCCAAGACTTTATTGAGGGCGTGAATTATTTCCTAGGTGTGGCCGAGGCAAATAAGCGGGATGGTTTCATGTGCTGTCCATGTGCCCTATGTAAGAATTTAAAGGAATATTCAAGCTCAATGAGTCTTCATTCACATTTGTTTAAGTCAGGGTTCATGTCAAACTATATATGTTGGACTAAGCATGGAGAAAGCGGGGTCATGATGGAAGAAGGTGAAGGAGAAGATTTAGACATTGATGATATTATTGCTCATTATGGTGCCTTTGATGATACTACAATGGGGGGAGATGAAGAAGAGGTAGCGGCAGAAGATGATCTCGGTGATGCTCTTGGCGATGCCATTCGTGATGCACAACAAGAATGCGAACGTGAAAAAGAGAAAGTTAAGTTCGAGCGCATGTTTGAGGATCATAGGAAGTTGCTATACCCGACGGCCGAAGAGGGGCAAAAAAAGCTGGGTACAACACTGGAATTGCTACAGTGGAAGGCAAAGAATGGTGTATCCGATAAGGCATTTGGGAATTTATTGAACCTCATAAAGAAGATGCTTTCAAAGCTAAATGAATTGCCCATCATTACGTACGAAGCAAAAAAGGTTGTCTGCCCTTTGGGATTAAAAATCTAGAAGATACATGCATGTCCTAATGACTGCATCCTCTACCATGGCAATGAATACGAGAATTTGAATGAATGCCCGGTATGTAAAGCATCGGGATATAAGATTAGGCGCGATGATCCTGGTGACATCGAGTGTGAACAACGTCCTAGAAAGAAAATCCCTACCAAAGTTATGTGGTATGCTCCTATAATACTAAGCTTAAAACGTTTGTTCAGAAATAAAGACCATGCAAAGTTGTTGCGGTGGCATAAAGAAGACCATAAGGTAGACAATATGCTGAGACACCCAGCTGATGGATCCCAGTGGAGAGCGATAGACAGGGAATTTCCAGAGTTTGCAAATGAGGCTAGAAACTTAAGGTTCGCCTTAAGTACAGATGGTATAAATCCTTTTGGGGAGCAGAGCACTAGTCATAGCACTTGGCCAGTTACTCTATGTATCTACAACCTTCCTCCATGGTTATGCATGAAGCGGGAGTTCATTATGATGCCGATCCTCATCCAAGGTCCGAGGCAACCTGGCAACGACATTGATGTCTATCTAAAGCCATTAGTTGAAGAACTTCTAGTTTTATGGAACAAACCAGGTGTACGTGTCTGGGATGAGTACAAACAAGAACACTTTGACCTACGAGCAATGTTGTTCGTAACAATCAATGATTGGCCTGCTTTAAGTAATCTTTCAGGTCAAACAAACAAAGGATATAATGCATGCACACATTGTTTTGATGACCTTGACAGTATATATTTGAAAAGGTGTCGAAAGGTCGTGTACCTTGGCCATCGTCAATTCCTTCCTTTGAATCACCAAGTAAGAAAGAATGGGAAGCATTTTAAAGGTAAGCCAGATCACCGGAAGAAGCCTCATAACCGAAACGGGGAAGATGTACTCGCAATGGTCAAGGATGTGAAAGTAGTATTTGAAAAGGGACAAGGCAGCGAATCTGTTCCCAAAGATGCTAAGGGGCACGCACCCATGTGGAAGAAGAAGTTCATCTTTTGGGAGCTACCCTATTGGCAAGTCCTAGAGGTCCGCAACATAATCGATGTGATGCACCTGACAAAGAATCTTTGTGTGAACCTGTTAGGATTTATGGGTGTGTACGGGAAGCCAAAGGATTCACTTGAAGCACGCCAGGACTTGCAGGGCATGAAAGAACGAGACAACCTTCATCCAGAGAAGACAGATGATGGACATCATTACTTAAGTCCTGCTAGCTACACGCTTAGCAAAGAAGAGAGGGACATCATGTTCGAATGTCTAAGCAGCATCAAGGTCCCATCGGGATTCTCCTCCAATATAAAAGGGTATAATAAATGTGCTAGAGAAGAAATCCCTAAACTTAAAGTCCCACGACTGCCACGAGCTTATGACGCAATTGCTTCCAGTTGCTTTAAGAGGAGTTCTACCTCCACATGTATGTCTAGCCACCGTGAAGCTATGTGCATTCCTCAATGCAATTTCTCAGAAGGCAATCAATCCAGTTGAACTAGCTACTCTACAGAATGATGTGGTTCAATGTCTTGTCAGCTTTGAGTTGGTGTTCCCTCCATCCTTCTTTAATATCATGACACACCTCCTAGTTCATTTGGTGAAGGAGATTAGTATTCTTGGACCTGTGTTCTTACATAACATGTTCCCCTTCGAGAGGTTTATGGGAGTCTTGAAGAAATATGTGAAAGTCCGTTCTAAGCCTGAAGGAAGCATCGCCCAGGGCTATGGAACAGAGGAGGTCATTGAGTTCTGTGTTGACTTTATTCCTGACCTTGCCCCGATTGGCGTTCCCGAATCGCGACACGAGGGGAGACTCAGTGGTAAAGGAACTTTAGGGAAGAAAACATATATCGGCATGAAAAATGATTATTTCAATAAAGCACACTACATAGTTCTTCAGAACTCGTCATTGGTGCATCCGTACATCGAGATACATAAGGAGTTCTTACTATCCAAGTTTCCAGGGAAGACTGAACCTTGGATTAGGCGTCAGCACATGGAAAGTTTCAGTGGTTGGTTGGGAAAAGAATGTCAAGGTGATGACAATATTGATGAGCAACTGTATTTGTTGGCTAGGCAACCATCGTGGCATATCCTCACATACCAAGGGTACGAGATAAATGGGAATACATTTTACACAGTTGCCCAAGATAAAAGAAGCACCAATCAAAATAGTGGTGTTCGCATAGATGGCACAGATCCAAATGGGAATATACAAATATATTATGGCCGCATAGAAGAGATATGGGAACTAGACTACGCACCTAATTTTAAAGTCCCTTTGTTCCGGTGCCAATAGGTGAAGCTGACCGGAGGAGGGGTAACAGTCGACAAAGAGTATGGAATGACAACAGTGGACCTCAACAATATTAGGTACAAAGATGAACCATTCGTCCTTGCTGCTGATGTGAGTCAGGTGTTCTATGTGAAAGACATGTCTACAAAATCAAAGAGAGGAAAAAACGAAGACATCAACTCAATGATCAATGAGCCAAAGCGCCACATAGTTCTTTCTGGGAAAATAAATATAGTGGGAATTGAAGACAAGTCAGACATGACAGAAGATTATGAAATAAATGTCCAAATTCCACCCTTCATAGTGAAGAAAGATCCAAGCATCATGTTAAATGATGAAGACACTCCATGGTTACAAGATCATAACCAAGGGTCAAACGTCAATAAGAAATTCACTGTTGTGCCCACATGATACAACGATGCATGTTTAATATATTATGTT